ACTTATTATTGCTTGGGACCAGACACAGCTGAGCAGTAAAAATTTAAAAATATCTGGAGGAAAGCCCTCTGATTCCCCACAATTTCTCACATTTGTTTAATGTAGACAACTCCAGCTGTTTTCATTGCAGTCGGTGTAACTGGGGTTCCCCTACTGGTGTTGTAACCAACCAAATGGGAATGGTTAACTCATTCCGGGACTAGTGTGCTGTGGTTGGCTCAACAACTCCTTCCCTGCCACTCACCAGCTCTGCAGAGCAGAGTGGGAACTACGCTTTGGCCCTCCTGGCAGAAGGTAATGCACGAGCGGAGGCTTTGGCTTATCTCCGTCAGCCAGTAGCGGTGAGGTTTGGAAAGGCTGTGCCGTGGTCTCCAGACAGCTGCTGAGCACACCGATGTCAGCACAGCAAGCCTGCCGAGCAGCTCTGAGCGCGGGGGCACGGGAGTGGAGCGGAGTTCGTCTCCACAATTAATCTAAAGAAGGCTGAAAGGACATGCTTGGGCACTGGCTGATGGTCATCCCCACTCCTCGGCAGCGTGCTCCCTCACCTGGCTGGAGCCTGGTCAAGTTGTACCCTCCTATGCAACGCCCTGGCACCATTCGGGGGATTTTATGGATCAGGACTGGTACCAACAAGCAGCACATGAGGCAATCGGATTCTCAGGAAGAGTTTAACTACATGCAGCCAGACAGTGGAGCCTGGCCTTCGTTAGTTTATTCACACAATCTAATTTGCACAATTAAAAGATACTCGCTGTGTAAATCCATGACTCAAGGCCATACCGTAATGAACAGATAGACAATGCCACGCGGGTATCTTGGTTCCTGCTTTGGGCGACCGTCATAAAACGGTGCTCGGCTCTGCTAAGGGACTCGGGCTTTCTCCCGCTCGCCTGACAGAACTGGTAAGCGCAAACAGCAATGCTGAGCACGAGGAGCTATCATCTGGAAGGCTGATGAGCGATTAAGGCTAGCCCAGCACAGGCAAACGAGGGAGAACAAGAGGAATCGGAAGATGCGAACCTGGGAGTGAGCAAGGTCAGGGAGTACATTAGCAGAGAGGAAAGATCACTGAACAGAGAGCTATAAACGAACCTGCTGCAGCCAGTTTTCTTCTAAGGGGTAATTAAGACGCCCAAAGGTGGATGGGTGTCTGATAGCACTTACCAAACAGCCCAAGTCCCTGAAGTTAATGGGCGCACAGCACTGCTGTAATTTCAGTTTGGAACTTTCTTATTGGGTTCTGACGCTCACTTACACGAATCTGTACGCAGCTGCTTTTAACGCAGATACCTCGTACTTAGGCAGAGACTCGCTGTTACTTTTTTTACTGTAAATAATAATTTTGCCTTCTGGCATAGGAATTAGGTCTTTTCATAAACATCCAAGCTGTGATGCATTTCCAGCACATCTAAGTCCCAGTGACTACTGTTTCTCCATTTACAACGCTCTTAATTATTCAGGAATTGCTCCTGTCACCTAGATCTTAGAAGACAGCATGGGAAATCACTCCATGCTTAGACTTCCCTTGTTGTTCTTTAGCTTCCTTGCATTTGGGCTTGTTCTTCAAAAACCCCAGCTGTTTCTTTCACTTCTGTTCTCTTTCTACGTCCCAGTCTCTGAATGCAGTTCATGCATTTACAGGAGGGAGGAGAGGGGGTGTGGGTGAAATTCCTCAGCCGAAGCTTCTTCAACCTGTTTCGTACCTTTGTGCTGCATTTCATCCACAATTAGGGTCAACAGCCAGTGTTCAATGTCATAGTCCATTACACAGACAGGACCCAGCTACAAAACAAACCTCTTTTCAGATAATCCATGTTTCCTGTGTGCTTTGAAAGACCATCTATGCCTTCCTCATAGCTCAAACGGGAATTCAAATGTCCAATAGTGGATACACTTCTAATCATATATATAATCACAGTCAATGTACCAGGACTAGTTTCCGTGAATTGGCCCTTTTTTTATCACTGAATAAATTTCTATTGCAAGGTATGAATTTTCAACATGTATTAACACATAACCTTAGGCACGCGCTCATGCCTGTGTAGTGGGATGTAATGCCCATCACTGTGTGGACCAGGAAACAGCATCATGCAGTGCTCACAAAATCGCCCACATAAGGAGGAGCTTCTTTTTCTGGGTGTTTTTTTTTTTTTTTTCTTTTTAATGTGGATGTAGTAGAATTGTGTAGCTGCTTTGCTTAACCAACCATCCTGTGTTTCTCTCCAGGAGTGCTCTGATTCTCTGGGTTGTCAAATAATAGCCTCCTAGATCTTACAAGAAGTGAAGGATAATAACGCAGCTATTATTATTTCAGCCTTAAGTATTGCCATTTTATTGTGAAGAGTTGCTTATCTTAACATACTTCAGCTATTCTTAGGTGGAACTTCTGATGTAATAGGTAACAGCAAACAAAGACCTAACTATTAACTGCTGGCGTCAAGAAATATATTGCAGCTTCAGCAATTGTCTTCTGAAATACAGATGTGAAATCACATTTCTGGCAAACTGCCTCAAATTAGGTAATCACCAAAGATGAGAACACGGGCTTACTTTTGGAGAGGAAAAGGCAGTCAGCCTGACTGCTAACTCTTAACTCTGGCTAAGCTCCCCAAGATTTCAACACACAGGTTGCAATTATGCCACCACCACTGAACTTCCCTGGGATTAATACTTTGCTAGGGGCTTCAAAAAAAGCAGCACACTCTGTGCTAGAGACTGTCACTTACGTAGACATGACACATGTAGTAAAATCCATCTTACAAGTGTAGCTTACTACAAGCAAGACTTGCCATATGTATGTCTCAGTAGTTAGGGGGTTTTTGTGACCATTCTAAGAATGTGTCATTTTGGGCCTAACATCATGCCTACAATGTGAAAATTATTTACTCATCTTCAAAGGCTACCCTGGATTTTCTGCAATACCTCTGGGTTCACCAGCTGGCCCTGCCTGCTTTAATAAAAGAAAACTCTGTGCTGTTGTAAGTGATAAATGTAAAGTTGAGCAGATTCTTAAAATATCCATACATTTCTGTTAAGGAACTTGACATAATCAAACTTAGCCGCACAAAGTTTTGCAACTGCAAACAGACTCAGAAAATGGTGGTGATCCATTTGCAACGGATACCAAAAGCACAGCATATAACCTCTGTACGTCAACAACTGTTCAGGATGCAGAAGTGAAGCTCCTTTGTAACACTTCAGCATACTTAGTAGAAAGGAATACCAAATTATACATAAAAAACAGAACAAAAAATATTACATAGCTTCTATGTACACCTGTACTAAGAACAAAAAGTAATCTATTTGCACTGTTCTTACTCAAATAAATGAAAAAATCAGTAATGTGGAACACTTAATTCACTTTCTCATTATACGTATGGAAAGGAAAAAAAAAAGCTTTAGCATCTGGATTTCTTCCCCCTTGCTTACTCAATGGAATTGCTGTCTCGAAGTACCAACTCTTCTCCAAACACTCTTCAATTTTCAGTTTTCTGCAACAGAAGCATTCCCTGATGATATGTGTATACATACAGTGTTCTATATATATTTTTTAATCTCTCTTGAAGGTGTTTTTTTTTGTTTTTTTTTTTTTATCTTTTAATTAGTTCCTTTTTGACCCTTTCTAACTGAAAAATCCCATGTCTTGATTGAAAAACAAACCAAAAAACTCTTCCAGGTCTGCTCTGTGAGAATGCTGTATTCCTCAACAAAAATGAAGGTTGATTGTCCCATCTGAAGCTAAGAAAACAGACCCCTAAATAACACTCCTGAGAATTTGCAACAGCAAGATATTATGAAGCAAGAATTTAATCTGACAGGTGCTTTAAAACAATAAAAATCCTTCACATACAGGCTGAATTAGAAAAATATTTTTATTTACAAGAGTAAATAATGTAGTGCAAGGAGAGTGGATTTAACCCTCAATAATGCATAGACTGATGCAATTTATAGTCTGTGATCTACATTATTTTGCAGAGGTGCATGCACACCTGCGCTAAAGGTCAGACCTTTCCTACAGCCACTTACCTGACAGCTTTAAATCAGACAGAAGGCATTTGCACTCCGTACTCATCATCCATATAAGCCAGCTAACATTTACCAAAATAACCGTCATTTAAACAGGTGTCTTTAAGAGTTACTGTAGCACATGAAATAAACCCTTTCCAATGTTATCTACGTAAGAATCCAAAAATAAACTGTTTGTTCACTTTGTGTCACCTGTTCACACTTAAATTTTCTTTTATTTATTCATTAGGGAAGCTACTTTCTCTAATCAGCGACTCTTGGCAGAGAGGGGAAACATTGACTCTTGCGTCCCTGAGGGAATTGCTGACACTTCTGAAACTTTGACATTTCAAGGGTTAGCCAGCAGAAATACTACGTTATGATCATACTGCACATCTTCCTGGTGTTTTTCTTTCAAAACAAAGCACTTTTCACATCAAAGAGTTAGGATGGAACAAAAAATGCCAAAAAAAGTAATTGTTATCACTGCATGTACCAAAGTCCCGACGGACGTGCCACAGAACTTGGAAAGTGTTGTTGACTGGGTTTCACTGTTGTATCGCTTCTATGCTTCCAACTTGGAAAACTCTGGTAACTTCACCAGTAAAATAAGACAAAATGCAGTAAAGACAACTTAATAAGATACTAGGTATGTGAGTAAAATTTCTTCTTCATAAAAACAAATGGGAGGTTTGCTCATTCTTCAATTAGTCAAAGACTTTGCGTGTTTTCTTCCAGTCCTTCAACGAAATACAGTATGATCACATGTTGGGTATCATGAGATAATCTGCATTATCTGTTTGGAGTGTTAAATAAATTGTAAAGGTGGGTTTCCTCTATAGTGGAGAAATTACATCAGTGAATTCCCCTACAACTTGGGCTGTTGGACTGCATTATTAACGCCACTAATAGGGTTGGTTGCCAGTTCTTAGATTTGTAGTTGCTCATATCCCATCTTCCCGACGGGACGTCAGCCTCCAGAAAACTGCACTTCAGCTTGTAACAAGAGGATTCTGAGGGTCTGAATCCTGCCACGCTACATCGTTTGAAGAAGTAGATTCTTCTTGCTGTCCTAGTCTGGTAGCATCCTCGTTGCTATTCCCTGAGGAAGAAGGTTCATCTGATGATGGTTCTGACCTTGCTCCAGAAGAATTACGGGCTTCAGAAAAACATCAAAAGAAATTATTGAAAAAGACCCCACTGCATCTAAGAAGCCTATTCATCAATATTTAAATACTATATGGATATAAAATCACAATATAAAGATAATACTCGAAGGTTACAAAATATTGAAAGAAGAATTATCTGTAACTTTATACTTCATACACGTGTAGTATGATTCCCAAGTTACATCAATTATAGCTAGTAAGAAAGGAAAGCAGGGTTTCAGAATTATTTCCATAGTCAGCATTATTCACAGCTATGCGTCTTAAATGCTACCTAGGAACTATAAAGTTCAGATAATCTTTTTTATATATAATGTCTATTTTTTAAAAAAACTACTCCCTATAGGTGTGGGTTGTCAATGTGGAAAGTATTTTTTTCTGTATTTTATTACAGAAATATGTCAGAAAACAGTATTTTCTGACATAGGCTTAAGCTGCCTACTGGGGTTAAACCACAACATAAGAAAATGTACTGAGTGGAAGAAATTATTTTCATAACTGGCAGTATTCATTTCAAGACTTCCCAATTAAGATCCTGTCTTGCAATATAAAGTGAAACACTTGGTTAAAGCTGGCAATGCTTTTGAAATGATGAATCATTTTTTCTGCGTGTAATGGTAGGGTTCTTTTTTTCCCTTTCCTGAGCAATGTAGTTTGGTCTCTGATATCTCTTTCACTACGGTGAGAAAATAATGGGAGTTTTAAGAGACTGAAGTCTGCCATTTGGTTTTCTGTCTCTTAATATTCTCTGTCCCATCAGAACAGAGAACACACAACAAACCTTTCTAGTTTAGGACAGAGGAGTCTGCAAGTGCTGACTGAATGTATTTACTGATTCGGTTACTGGTCTGAGCAGGCTGAACTGCCGAGTTCCTCCAATGTACCAGGTCTCTGAACCCCACTTTTTCTCCCACCTTGTATCTGAGCGGATCCAGTCACATGAAACAGCGAACACAGTCTCGTCGCATATTGCGGAGACAACATATGAAATCAAAGTCCTATAATTACTCTAACAATACTGCATGATGAATTAATCTCTTATTTCCAGTCACCATCTCCTGCAGTTAATGTTTTATTATGAATCTCCTTTATCAAGGGAAATTCTCCAGAAACCAACAGGTTTAAACCTATGCCTCGCGTCATCCACCCTTTTCAACCACCAAAAAACGACTTTTGCATCAAAGCAGCTGCTGTTCAGAGGCAGCTCTACCAAATCTGGAATTCCTGCTTTTGTGTTTGAAGTTTATACTGAAATAAAAAGATCACTCTTATTTCTTCATTTTCACTATGACAAATACTTACCAGCTAAAGACTGAAAACATTGCACTGCCAATGCAACCAGAATTGATAGAACAAAGGTTCCCATGAAGTAGATCTGTAACAGTAAGTTTAAAAACATATATTAGCACAGTGCAAAGCCAAGGTAGTGCTCCAAATGAACTGTGCGTGTGCCAAAGGAGCAATACATACCAGAGTAGACTGTATAATACTGTTCCAGATAACTCTCATGTAAAAATAAAGCAATGCTAATGTGCATGGACTAATTGATTCTTGGTTACTATTATTCCAGCACCTACAACAGGAAGATTAAAATACTTAATTAGTCCCGCTCCACAATTTTGTGGCATCTGTCATCTGGGAATCTCAAGTGGGTTTGCAGCAAACCCCAGTAACCCAGAAAAACAAGCAGATATATTTTCATTATTTCACAGACAGTGAAGTAAAAATTCATAGATTAACCTCATTAAGCACAGAATACCTTATCCTAGGAGTACATTTTTATATTCTTATTAGACAACACTGGGTCTAAACATCCAGGCTACCCTTGCCAAGCAGTCACGGCACAAGGTCATACCCAAGGTACTTTGTTCTAACGAATGTGAGTGAACAGCAGCAGGACTGGATTCCAAGATTAGATGTACAAAATCTGGTTGCCTATGCAGGAGACTGGTGCCTACATCCCTTTAGAGACAATGGAGTACAACATCATGCAGTCTTAGAGCTTAACGAGTGCTTCAGCTGACTAGCTATGAGGTATCTGCTATGGGCTGAGCTGAGTTGCTCCTCTGTTCCTTCAGTTAGGACTTCACCAACCAGGGAAGTTTAGACAGCTAAACCACAGGCACCTATTTCAAGCTACAACTGATTCTTTTCTACCAAGCTGAGGAGGGAGGGGGGTGTGTGTGTAAAAATATGTGCCTTTCTGGACAAAAGTGGCTGATGACGGGAAATCCCTGCAGCGCTGTCAGCTCTGGAGATGGTCTCAATGCAAAGCAGACTGATTCAGCCCAAATGAAGGCAGACTTCAGACTCCAGCTTACAGTCCCAGACGGACCACCTGGTCCAGAAGCCCTATTTATGTGACTGGTAATTTCATGCAGAGTGGAGGTAATTTAGGGTACAAGTTCAAGCTAACTGCAGTGAAAAGCAATTTCAGTGGATTGTTGATGCAACGACAAATGAGATTTTAATGTTGATGTCACCTCCACTTTTTCTGGGTCACACAACACTGACTAGCAAAACAGAAGATAAACCACTCATTCCTGGTTCACAGCTTCATGTATCAACCGTCAGCTCCTCCTTCTTTAAATATCTGTCAGGCAATTCCACAAATCCACCAAATATTGTGTAAGCTTCCCATTCTTGCTGTGCTTTTCAACAGACGTTGCTTTACCCAGGTGAAGGAAACCTAAGTTCTGTACTGGAACCAGAGGTCTCTAGGTGGTTTGTGCATGAACAATGCTGGTGCAGACCTGTGAACTTCTCACATATCTAATATTCTGTGCCACAACACCTGTGCCAGGATGCTCTGAGGCACAGTGTGAGCATAAACAGGCTGGAACGTCTTTGCAGAATAAATAGGAACAACTGCTGTTATCCCAATTACATACTTTTAAATTCTGCATTAAAATTATGCTATATTTATCATTAAAAGATTGTTTTGGACAGTATACAAATTGTCAGTGCCTAACTTAGGAACTTAAATATACAGAATTGGAAAAGACTTCCTGGATCATTAAATCCAGTACCTGCTATTTCAGGTAACCACATATAATCAGGTCTCTCAAAAGAGGCATAAACTGAAATATATTTAGGCAGTTTAAGCATTTCAAACATGTTGACCTTAACCTGCCTTAAATCATACAAATGACCAAAGTTAATAATTACACGAGTTGCTGTTCCCCAGAGTAAATGCTACTCACATGGAAAAACAGAAGATGCTGATTGAGGGGAAAAAAAGACTCACCTGTAATAAAGTTCCTGAAGAAGTGAAGTATTACTAGAATGCAATGCCCGATCAATTTCCAAGTGATCCAGAATGTAGGAAGGTATGGAGTTGCCCTCTTCTATGACAAGGGCCAAATTAAAGAAACCCTAACAATAAAAAGCATACACACTTTTTAACCATTAAATTTTCACATGTATCTTTAAGGTCTAATGTAAGCATCAAGTATCTAAATAATTACAATTGTCTTCTATAAATTTATTTAGTATAATGTAACCTTCATTGAATAATTACAAGAGCCTCCTCTCCTAACCACATACCCAGGTGAACACTGAAAATGCAAAAGAATTGGCGTTCATTTTTTGTGACACTGTTTTCTTAGACATCATCTGGAAAAAAATCTGAGGTTCCTTACTTTTCACAGAATCACAGAATGTTAGTGGTTGGAAGGGACCTCTGGGGATCATCTAGTCCAACCTCCTTGCCGAAGCAGGGTCACCTACAGGAGGCTGCACAGGACCTCGTCCAGGCGGGTCTTGAATATCTCCAGAGAAGGAGACTCCACAACCTCCCTGGGCAGCCTGTGCCAGTGCTCCATCATACTCAGAGGGAAGAAGTTCTTCCTCATGTTCAGAAGGAACTTCCTATGCTTCATTTTGTGCCCAATGCCCCTTGTCCTGTCACTGGGCACCACTGAAAAGAGTCTGGTCCCATCCTCTTGACACCCAGCCTTAAGATATTTTTACAGAATCACAAAATCACAGAATAGTAGGGGTTGGAAGGGACCTCTGTGGGTCATCTTTCATCTTTCTTGAAGTGGGGAGCCCAGAACTGGACACAGTACTCCAGATGGGGCCTCACCAGGGCAGTGTAGAGGGGAAGGAGAACCTCCCTCGTCCTGCTGGCCACACTCTTCTTGATGCACCCCAGGATTCCATTGGCTTTCTTGGCAGCCAGGGCACACTGCTGGCATTTTTAGGCATTTTTAAGGTCCCCTCTCAGCCTTGTCTTCTTCAGGCTGAACAAGCCCAGCTCCCTCAGCCTTTCCTCATAGGACAGATGCTCCAGTCCCCTCATCATCCTCATAGCTCTCCGCTGGACTCTCTCCAGTAGCTCCTCATCTTTCTTGAAGTGGGGAGCCCAGAACTAGAAGCAGTACTCCAGATGGGGCCTCACTAGGGCAGAGTAGAGGGGGAGGAGAACCTCCATCGACCTACTGGTCACACTCTTCTTGTTGCACCCCAGGATACCATTGGCCTTCTTGGCAGCTAGGGCACACTGCTGGCTCACGGTCAACCTGTCGTCCACCAGGACACCCAGGTGACCTTTAAATACAGCCACCATATCACATTGTATTCTTTTATCTACTAGGGAAATATAGACTGAAGGCACAAATAATTCCTGTTGCGTTACTGTTTAATTCCCCTCCACCTAGCTCTATAGATCATTCGCAATCTGAATAGTGAAACTGAGAGCAGAAATTCGCTCCACACAATTTAAATCCTTAATCATACAGTTTTGACAAGTCTGAGGCAATCATTAGGTCTTTTCAGAGCCATGAAGATGAACACACAGGAGACGTATTACAGGATTCTCCATCAGTTTGGCTTTCATACTTCAGAGTAACTGTTCATGACTCTCTTCTTTCCTTTTCTAGTTTATTAGCAGCAATGTTTTGTTCCAATATCCTTAAACCAGAACCCAATTATGCTACCTCTAATAAATTCACATCCAAGATACTATCTGGGGACATTGTCACAGGGAGAGGAAGAACAGAGGATTTCACCTGGGACGCTTCAGGAGGGTCCGAGGGCAGGACACTCAGTGTTGAAACACTGCATGTCTTTGGTAATGTGACATGGTGTATCTTTTCATTATAAAACGTTTTAAGATGAAGATTTTGTTGGTGGAGTGAACACAATTCACCCTAGGATTCACTCAGTATACCAAGGGAAATGGATCAGTCTTCTTGTTTATTTCCCAAAATAGCAGAGGATAGGACTGGAATAAAACTCAGCAGTCTATTAACTCTTCCCCTTGCAGAAGCAAAAATACCAAGGTCACAACAGAACCAACTGTGTCACAGTAGGGTAGTACTGAATTATGCCATTCACCTTTAGCTTTCAAAACAGTCTAATTCTAAGACTGCCCATCTATACTAGGTTTAACTTCTATTACTATGAAACAGAAGCTATTGACTCACAAGGTATTGTGAAATACTTATAACTTATTCTAGCAGGTCTCTTCAGTGCACAGATGTAGCCAAGCAGAATAACCAGTCTCACGTGAATCCTCAGTTTGTTCTAAACTCTGATTTTTGGTTTTTTATAAACACACTACAACTTCAGACCCACCTGTGAATCCCCCTCTAACGCAGCTTGTGCGTACATCCGCATCGAGAGCTCAAGGTCTTTAGACTGGTTCTGGTAACCGTAGTAGTAGAAATCACCCATCTTCAAATAAGCTGTGGAAGAAACCGGTAGCAGATCATTTAGGGTATTTGTAGAGATAGAATTAACCAGCTATGAATGTGATGGAGAAGTTAATAGTAATTCTATTTAAAGCAGTGTATTAAAAAAGAAAAGGTACTCTTTCTCTCTGTTTGTGGCTACTTTACAAAAGACTGAATACTGAAAGTATTTATCTTGGTTGAAATTTCTCACGGTTTCTATTTAATAAATTTAGTGAGTGATATTGTTACTTTTATGAAAACTAAGACTTCGAGACTTCATGCTGTTTTTCTTCTTCACTTGCTGAATCTGTCTTTCGGCAACCTGTATTATTCAGGTTAGCCCTACTAACTTGGTGAGACTTAAAAACATGCTGCCCAAGTGCTTGTTCTGCACCTCTCACTATGGCAGCTGAACTGATCCCAAAAGTCACAGAACTTTGCTGATGACAATTTCATTAATTTCAAATTCAACCCAGCCCAGGACAACAATACATATAGCATCTTCCTGGTCCAGAAGGAAGCAAAGCCTAGCAAATATTTTACAAACATCTTTCTGGGATACTGCAGAGTCATGAAATGCACCAACAGAGTGGGCATTGACCCAAGCAGGAGTAAGCATAACGTTGCACTAATCTGTGCTAAAGAGTTTAAAAACTCCCACGACCAAGTCTACAATTATCTGACCTAAGCTTTCCCCAAGTGGTCTGAAACACTTCTGCCCCTTGCCCTGTGCCTCTATGGCAGCTACCTAGAAATCCCACCTGGTTTTACAGCAGAGCTCTTCCAGAAAGCAAGCTGGCCACTGACCAAACAGGAAAGGCAGAAAGACTACGTGGACAGGCTGGCACAGATGCAGAGTGGAAGACCACAAGTGCTGTAGTGAACCATCCCCCAGAGCGTTCCCCCTCAACCATTCCAGCCCTGGCCTGGAGAGCAATCCTGCAACAGGCCTTGAGGTCACCCTGCGTTGCACCAATAGTGAAGCCCCGGGAGTCTCTGCTGCCAGGGTTAGGCTCTCCAGCCCAGGCCCACTGGGGATTTGATCCTCCACTACTGCACAGAGGGGTCTGAGATAAAACTCCCCTTATGTTATCCATGTGAGGAAGAGATGAAGTAGTAAAATCCTTCCTCTACTGAAGTCCACAAGCCTTCTATCCTTTACTTGAATGGAATCACAGCCCTACCCCGTGAGTCTTCAGAAGCTACTCTAATGTAAGATTGTACCAGTGGATCTGCCAAAGGGCCATCCAAACTGCACCTTGCTAAGGCATCTACAAAATCCTCACAAAAGCTAACAGGCTTTGTCAGCTCCTGTGGCTTCAGGCTCTGTCAGTGTGGTATTCAGTTTCCACGCTGCTGTGCATTTAAATGAAGAGCTTACACTCCAATTCTCTACGTGCTTACTACAAAGTACTTAAACCTTCGTGTGAGAGAATCAGATCCATGCTTTCAAATACTGAATAACTCTTTTGAAGGCATCAAAATGACTTAGTCACTAAAGTCACAGATGTAGTAAAATTTAAGGCCGAAGGAATGTAACTTCTATGCAAAGAAACCTTCTCTTCCAGAAAGGTGCCTTTTTTTTTTTTTAAACAAAGAATCCTTTAGTTCCCCAAGGTAAGATAATGTGCCAATGTTGATAAACTCTGTAACCTAACAGCAAAACTCACAATAAAATAGATAAGCAATCATTTAGCCTTCCTTAGTTTCTCATGACTCAATTATGATATGGAAGTATATTTACTTTTGGATTTTCTCTTTGATAAACTGAACAGCATGAGCTTGTAAAGTCTATGGCTATTTTTTTTTTCTTAAACCTTGAGTTAAATGCTTAGGCTTCTAAATATCTAGCCTGTTCTCAGGGCTTAGCTTCTTTATTTTATTTTATTCAAATGTTACCCATTTTTTCAGGGCTTAGCTTTTTTAATTTATTTTATTCAAATTTATCCATTTTATGCCATAAAAGGAAATTCTCAGAAAAGCTGTGCTGAAACAGAACACTTCAAATACCTTTTTTCCCCTGATATTTCTATTAAAGCACTATAAAGGAAACGTATGATAAGCAGAGATTACTCTTCCCTTAACTTGCTCACTCACGTAGAATTTGTAACAAACGTAGTTCTTGAAATATATTAAAAAAAGTTAAATTAAAATTCAGAATGAATTCTTTATACATACCAAATGAGGGTGCATTGACTTGAGAAACAGAGAAATTGTAGTATCTCCAAACACAATCACTTGCTAGGTATCTCCTTGCTAGGTCCTGGAAAGAAAATAATTGATCCATTCACAGATAAAAGATCAGGATCACATTATCATTAGCAAGTGTTCCTTTTAGGATACTGAGTTGTGAATACATTTACTTACTGGTCTTTCTTCACAGATGTGTGCTAAATTTGACTGTGACACTTCAATCCCAGTTTCAGCTGCTAAAACATAATGCAGCAGAGCTTCATGCCTAAGGTTAGATAAAATAAATCATGAAAACCCTAACAGAAATAACACGCATTTTAGTTATAGATAAAAAACCCGACTAAATAAATTGATAAAATCACCTAAGAGCAAAATTTTTGTACAAGGTTTAAAAGCAAGCGGCTGGCAAACGCATTCAACAGCCACATCTACTGGCAATGCCTGGTGTAACAAGCCATGCGGGATCTCCAGAATTTCCAGTGTTTCCTCTCTCGCACTGAAGCTAGATTGGCTCCAGTGTGCATTAATCTAACGGCAAGACTGATGATAAAGTTGAATCGATATTAAGCCAAATTAGCTATTTAAATGTTTTAGTTAAAACATTCTTAAAGACTCTTACCTCCTCCACTTGAAAACATCTGTAATTAACTTAGCTGTGTGTATCTGTCAAACGTTCATCTGAGTACTTCTCTGGTATGATTTACCCTTTTATTTCTATGACTTGCTTCTCTTATCTTTTTAGACTACAGGTTCTTTGGAACAAGAATTGTCTCTTATTATATTTGAATGTGACAATAAAATAACTGTCAGTCTCTCTATGGACTCTAGGCACCTCACTGACTGTGAAGCAAGTAATAAAAGCTCATTTTGCATTTGCAGTAGAGCAATTCAGTATTGCAGCACTGCACTGCTCGTAATTCCAGAGGACAGCATCTCTTTCATGTTTTTTGTCACTCATCTACTCAATATTATGAAAACTAAGCATTCAAAATTAAGGGGAAGTCTTTAAAATCATGTGTTTGGTTTTAAAATTACAATATAAAAAAACCACTTGGTGTACTTTTTTTCCTGCTAAAGCTTCCTACTTATGGGTCATGTTTCCAGTGACTTCCCCCACAACATAAAGCTAAAACTGTGGCAAGTTTCAGGGTCCAATGGTTTGTTTAACTGGAAGCAAATACGGTTAAATACGCATTTGACTTCAAGAGTAGGTGCTTAGGCAAAGAAACTTTAAACGAAACTGGGAAAGCAGTTGCCCTCACAGAATGAGCAGGTGTAACCTCCTGTTTCCCAACTGCTTCTGCACGATTACAAATTCTTCTTTGTACTTGCACTGTAAAAACATCTGGGACAATGGAGAACTGGCACCACAGAGGGGATTCACGATACCTAAGCTGGGAAGTTAGTTCTTCTGATCCTTAAGTCCCAAAGGGCAACTCGGAAAAGAAACGACATTTAAGACCTCTAAATCTGTCTCTGAAGATCAAACTACCATGACTAACGTGTATAGAACACGTGGCTGCTAACACCGATGACTGAGGAACACAGTACTTGGTCTGCTTGGCAGCGTAACAATACCAGAGATGACTAGGACCAGTATTTATAAGTGACTACCCATACACTCCCAGTCACCGGCATCTCACGTGAGACTCCAGCAGATTCTTCCTCCTAGCTGTTGAGAGCAGACGTTCTGGGATCCTAATACCCTGCCTGTCATGCGCACAGGACTTTCACTCAGTGTTGAAAAGTGAGGTCAAGTCTCAGGAGAAATGTCTGCGACGGACCAAATAAAAAGAAACTTCTTCTAGGAACAGGTTACCCTGGAACAGTCCACTGACAGTTTCTTGTAGATTTCCTAAGCCTGAAGCACTAAGTGCTAGCAAGGGGAGGCTGCAGGACTAACCAAGCCATTTTCTTATCATGCATGACAGTCTGATGCCTGCAGGTACAGTAGCTGATGCTCATGCCTACAGGTCGCTGCAAAAATGGAGCATTAACCTGGAGGCTATTTTGAAACCTCCTGGTTGGCTCATTGTGGCCTCCTACTATCTGGCACCGAAAAGATAATAGTAACTATACACAAAAAAAGAACAAATCTAATCCAGCAGCCTGAGTTTTCATGACATGGAATTACACAGAAGAGAGAAAGCAAAGTGTGGTTTTTGGAACAGGGGGAATATTAAAATTGAAAGGCATTCTTCTGGCTAATGCAGTGCACACTACATGCTACAGCACTATGGGGTGAAAATCACAGTCAGCAGATACAATGCTATTTCACGTTACAAACTCCCTCTTTTTCACTTGATTCTGTCAGGACTGTAAAATTATGCTTCGGGTCAACTCCTCCTTCCCTTTATGTTAATGGGTGTTTTGCTACTGATTTCAGTGGTGCTGCTATTTGTGTTTTTTTTGAGGTGATGGCCCAACGTTAAGTATCTTATCATGCTATGAAGTTAGTGAAAAACAGAAAATGAAGAGAACAGAACAAACATACCATGAAAGTTCCAGATAAGCATTGAGAGCTTTTCTGATGACATGACCCAAGTAGCCGTTCTTCTCTGCTATGTGTTTCGCCCAGCTGTAGAAAAGAACAAACAATAAAGAAAAATGAACAGCTGTGCTCCAGTAACGTTATCCCAACTGACACTGACTCAAAGGACACTAAAGGATACAGGATCACCTTCTGACTTTTTCCATAAGGCAAACTATGGGATTTCACAGTAGTTGTTGCATCAGTATTGTAACTATTGACTGAATGAGAACATTTTGTCCATTCATCTCCATGAGCATATCAGAGATATCGTATGTTTTTTCTTGGCAAAATTACTTTTCTTTTTTTTAGAAAACAAACATGAGTTAATAAGTGCTATAACTAATTATCTGTCTTTGTCTTGATGCAAAATACCAGTTCTACCACATCAAGAGCCTGACAGTTGTTGAAAATCAAGTAAGTATGGCTTTGTTAGACACAAGGTCTCTGAGTTGTTCCAGAACAAAAAGTACTAAAAGTACTCAGTATCCTTCAAAAACTACTGGTCACTTAAACAACACACATATTCACGTGGATCACACTTTACTGCAGAAGAACCTTTTGTCGTGGAGGTAAGCACCATGAAGTGGTGACATTTAGACTATGGACTTAAAAAATCACCAATAATCCCACCAGAAATATATTCTCCTTGAACAAATGGTTTCAATCCTTACATCACAGCTTTTTCTGGATCTCTAGGGAAGTCTTCCATATTTCCTGTGATGTAGTACACAGAACATCGTAAAGTCCCTTCTATATGTCCTCCTTGGGCAGCTTTATAGAAATAGCGCGCAGCAACTGTCTGTGAAGAAACAAGACACAATTAGCAACTCTGCATTATCATTGTTTATTGAGTTTTGTTTCCTGGGACTCATCTCATCAAATGAATTAATAGAGGCAATTGGCTAACGAGGGCAAGCCACTTCCAATGTACTTAGGTGAACTGAATTACTTTCTTCTGACTTTTTAAAAGTTTAGGCTGGAAAAAGGTTTTTAAAAACATAAATTCTGGTAATACGTTGAATATCAAATAGAAAAGTGTCTAAATGTGTAACCAATACCTGGTAGCACACAAATCTTGTGTGCACTGACAAAAGTCAAATTAGTTATTCACTAGTACGGAGATTACTGTGGGATCCTGGAGACGAGACACAGGACGAGATGCCCAGATGAAGGCTGGGGAGCAGCGGCAGTGCTCAGCACGTCCATCGGCACGCAGCCACCATGCTCGAGCCTGTGAAGCTGGCTTACGGATGGTAACACAGGCTGTGTAGGCACGGCCAGGGCCGTGGAAGCGGGAGGGCTGTGTGACTCCCCATGTTTTACACTCAGAAACAGTAATCTGGAATGTAAACCAAAGCAGCATCCAGCCTGAAATAATATATTTCAGGAAATTTTTAACCATCGATATATGTTTTCTGTGAGTGAGCACAGACTTCAGAGTATCCATCACAGCCATAACGAAGCACTTCTATCCCATGGCTTTGGTGAATAAAGAAACCTGGGCACTTTTAGGTGTCCTCTTATAATCAGTCTACTCCAAAATGTGTATTTTGGTCACTGGGGAAGGAAAATGTGCTTGTCAAATGCAGTGTTGGTGAGCATTGCTGCTGTCGGCAGCAGAAAGGCTCGCTGGCATGTACCCAGATCTCAGAACTCAAACACCACACTGGAAGCATCTTCTAGCTCCAAGCACAAGGTCTGCTTGCATTTATTACAGCCTACCTTACTATGTTTGTGCTGTTGGTCATTAACTACCTACACAGGGCATTTTTTACAAAGTTAATTAAAAGAAACATAAGCAAAGTAGACCCTTCCTACTAGGGCAAAATAACTTTTCTCATTGATATGTGGAAAATTAAAAAAATGGACTGTGTCACAGAAAGAAAAATCAAAATAGTGCAGTTTATCAGGACTACATTAAACAGTTACATCTGGAAGTCTGGCTTGAAAGTGTTGTACTGCCGTTCTGAGGTTCACAGAAGCTACGTGAACGCAGCATAGCTGATTACAATTCAGGGACAAAGGTTCTGCTGCTTTCATCTATTGTGGGAAGCATCCTTTCCCTATAACCTTTCCAATCTAAAACTGAGAGAAACTGAACGGATCACACGATGCGAGAGCACACACAATCCTGGCCAGCATCACTGGAAGGAGGAAAGCAGAGTCAGTCCCTGGAGCTAAACCTGCACCTGCTTTGTTTCTAAATTACAGGAACAGAAATTGAGGTACACCTCCCTCTAAGCAATCTGACTGAATTACCCAGTAACACCATTCTTTGTGATAAAAGTATCAAAATCTGACTCAGAGTAAACACAGCAATCTCAAGAATAAAGCAAAAACATCCAAACTGGGCCCATATGTAAGAAATAGTACTATTCAATATTTACTCACTTGATTTCTACCAGGTACTCCAGGGTAAATTCCATCTAAATAAAGGACACCAAGGTTGTATGATGCATCTGGATTTCCCAATTCTTCAGCCATTAACCAGTGTTCAGCTGCTTTTCTGTAGTCTCTTTTAAAATTGTGGTAATACCATCCCAATCCATTCACTGCCTGGGGCAAGCCCTTAGGGAAGGAGAAGAGCAGTGTCAGGTGGCACGTTTGCTTCTGCTTTGGGTCACCTCACAATTCCAACCCGCTGCCCGATTTAGGGAAGGTCACGAGAGCACCCAGTCCAGATGCCTGGCACAACGATCCATGTAAAATGACACTGATGTGGGACTAAGAGAGGTAAAGGTTTGATGGCTTTTTTCATGCTATTCTTTTCTGTGGTCTCATATTGAAAGCAAGGAATAAGACTCCAGTGTCATCTTATTCTACAGAGTCTCAGCCATGTCTGCATTCAGATTTGTACTTGTTGACAAGAGCAAACTGTGACTGTTTTTCACCTGTTTCTTCTGCAAAGCCAAAACGGGCCACCTGTTCTTGTGAACTCCCAGAACCTGGCTGACAGGATTAGCAATCAAAAAAACCACTTCTTTTAAACTAGAACATTACTGTGAGAATAAAAAAGAAGCAATGTACACAGAATTTTGCGATGCTATTTTCAAAACTCATTTGATCAACACCATACAGAACCTGCTTAAGATAGTGCTACATGCTATTACAAAGTTGCATCTTTGCATCAACGATTATGGATCAAGAGAAGACAATCCTCCTGGGACAGTTTTTTAGTTTGGCTGCAATGAGTCACCATCTCCTTGCATAAACTGGTGGATCATATGGTGGCTGAAAGCATGCCAGCCGTTCAAATTGCTCTGTGCCAATAAACGTGAACATATTATTTCCTCTTATTTTATAATATATGTTTAACAGCAACCATGCCAGAACAGTGACATAAAGTAAAAGTTACCTAAAAATTCTCAGTGCACAAATACAAGTTATTTGCTGGCTACTATTGGCTTCTACACTACACAGTCTCTTCCTGTAATCTCTGTAGAAAGAACTGCATACTACTGGCACTTACAAAGGTCCTCTGGAAAAGGATTCCTTTTCCTTTCAGATTTCAACAGTGTTACTAGCTTACCCATTAAAATGCTAAAGCAGTTAAACTTTTCAATAATTACGGTATTATTTTTGTATAGAAATTGTACACCGGAGCATAAAAACATAAGTATCTGGGTTTGAGAAGGGTAAAGAAATTGTTGTCTCTAGTATGCGTCTTTGAATCTGTTCCTCAAATCCTGAGTCAAGGGAATATTGATCACAGTGTGAAAACCACTCAGTTTATTCAAGCCTTTCCAAAACAGGTAGTAGAACAGGTAGTCTTCTCTTGTTTCAAAGGGAGGATAGAACCGGCACAATTCTCTTCTGATGGTGGTCAGCAGTGAAGTACTACTGTCATTGTCAGTTCTGGTTCTAGAACTCAGATGGTATTCAAGGTCTAGGTATCCTTTTATTTTTATACTAAGGACCAGATCATGGCCTGGGTAATCTGACTGTACTAGATTGTTAAACAGAGTGAGGATTCTCTTCTCTGTGGTGCCTGTCAACGTTTTGCGCTGCTATGGAAAAAACTGGTGGCTTTGGGACATCTGGGACTTCTCCTTGAAGTAGAGAAGAGTCGGCCAGAGAGAGCGCGAGCAGTCTTCTTCCAGCTACCAGCATCGCCTGGAGGAGTTCTAACTCTAAGCAGAGAGAACTAGCCATAAACCAGCACAGCTCAGGGGTGGTGGACAGGAAGGAGGTACAACCCAGACCTTAGTCTTTATTCTGTTTCACTCACATCACAACTTAAAGATGCTCTGTTATTTTAGCAAGGCCTGGGGGCACGGCTTTTCAAAGATGGCAGTTATCTCTACCTGACTCTGGAGAGATCACCACATCAAAAGCTCAAGCCTGGTAGGGACTCCTATGAAAAATCATACCTAGTACGCTCCAGAAGAGAATGCTTAGGAACATGAGGCAAAAACATACTCATGGATCAACTATTCACTCTGTAAGTCACCTAACTATCATCAAGTTCCAGAATAGGTAAGTAGAGAGAATTCTTTTTCTTCCATAGAAATTTTGGCTGATTTTGAGTGGTCTAGTCTCCCAATAGGGGGAAATAAGGCTTTCACCATTCATAGTGAAGACACTGGGAGAAGCAACTAGTATTTACACAGAATTATGATAATGTGCATTTTATATACATCAAAGTTCATTATTATTAGCACCTCGTTTAGGACTTTTACAATAAAGTATTTATTACATTTTACCTTGGCTGCTGCTTTCTTCATCAGTTCCAAAGCAAGTTTTGTGTTCTTTTTCACACCTTGGCCCTAGCAAATGGATATGTGAAACAATCATTGTTTGCAAACACAGAACACAGGCTGGTGAAAATTCACACAAATGCATTCAAAATGCATTTTAACATTCATACGATTATTTAGTAGGTGCTATTCAGCTTTAAAAAGCTACAATAAAAAAGCAGCTTTGTGCTCATCTGTCATTCACAGCTTTACAAAATCTCAGTGATTCAGTCTAACAAAAATTATTTCATCAGTCAATCCAAGTGATTTCTATGGGTAAACAAAATCACAGATCTTTAATTTACAGCAACTGAGGAAGAATGAATAGCATTCAAAGGTGCACAGATTGTTCACGATTTGGCAATGAGTATAAGCTCTCAGCTTTCCTGAAAAAGGGTATCAGAGTGTCTCCAGGGAAATACAGAGACATTATGCTGATGATATCCATGTAAATTAATTCCAGACATGGGTCTAACTATGGGTGCTCAAAATTAACACAAGCAAAACTTTAGCAAGGATTTTGTAGAGAACAGCCCTCCACTGCCAAAGGAATGAGACGAAGACCTAACAGTTCTTCACTAATGTCTCTAACCTATAGTACCGTTTAATGTCTTCTGGGTGACATCGCTTCGCTGATACAACTTATTTTACTTAGATCAGGTTATGCCTGAGTTTAGCCTCCTCTGCCTACCTCTTCTAGCAGGAAAAAACTAATGGCCTGCAGAGACTATTAATTCCTAAAAAATAAAAAAATCCCAGACATCTAATAGAGGGTATTCTAAGAAAGGATCGAACTTTCACCTACATCTCTACACCAAGGCCTATGCCTACTAGCTGGTCAGATTTTTGGGGAAAAATCAGAATCCACAATTTAGGTGGTATTTTAATCCTGAATCTGGCTAGCAACAAAGTGACTAAATAGCTTTTAACTTGCTCTTTTTATAATTCTTGTGCATATCTGGTAAAAATCAGCATTAGCTCCATAACTATCTACTGACTTTCAGAGTAAATCTAAAAGCACTTGTATACAGTCTCACAGTGTGTCACTGCAGGTAACTTACAAACATCCATGTCACTGGAATGCTTATAAATAGCGTAAGGGTGGGTGCCAAGAGGACAGGGACAGGCTCTTTTCAGTGGTGCCCAACAATGGGACAAGGGGCAATGGGCACAAACCAAAGCATAGGAAGTTCCAGCTCAGGAACACGAGGAAGAACTTCTTTACTCTGATGGTGACGGAGCACTGGAACAGGCTGCCCAGAGAGGTTGTGGAGTCTCCTTCTCTGGAGGTACTGGACGCGGTCCAGTGCAGCCTGTTCTAGGTGACCCCGCTTTAGCAGGGTGGTTGGACTAGATGATCCCCAGAGGTCCCTTCCAACCCCGAACATTCTGTGATTCTGTGATTTTTTGAGGTGAAAATATGAAACGACTTACCTTAAATAACACAATGGCATAATCATATATTAACACTGGATCTTCTGTTTCTATTGCACCCTTTGCATACCATTCTATGGCAGCTTCAGGATTTTTTGCCACTCCTTGTTGGCCCCAAAACAGCATCTGAGCCAATCGTTGCTAAAAGAAAACAACATAAGCATTAATTTTATAAATGCTAGTATTGAAACTGGAACTGCACGTGCAGACTTTTGAAGGCTTAAATAGATTTTAAGTATGTGCAGAAACTAGTTATACAGCCTCGACAGTCTGAAAACATTCGGTTATCAGGAATATTCAGAGGGCTTCCCAGTGGTGAAATATACTGATATTAAATCTACAGCAGGGTTATTTTTTGCAGCTGTCAGTACCACAAAAGTCTGGCTTGATTTAAGTGCAGAGGTAAATGATGAAAGCAGTTCTGACGCATGCAGATGGTTCAGTATCATAAAATATTGCTGCTGGTCTCAGCAGCAATAACTGCACCATATCAAATACAAAGCCAATGAAAACGATCAGAGAAGGAGGTTGCTAACTCTTGATAACTCTTCCCTTTTGCCTTGCATCATTGTTATGGCTTTTTGCATGGTCACTGGGTATCATCAGACAGAAACACTGGAAATAGTTCAAGTTCATAAAAAAGAAGCAATTCTGGGTTGAAAGAGGAAATGTCTGTCTGCTTCACTCACCTCCAACTTTCCTACCTAGTCTATAGATGTACATACACGATGTGTGTACAAAACCAAGAAAGGGGAAATGCATTGCTTTATACCTGTGCAGCTGCATTTCCTCTTGTTGCTTCATGTTTTAACCACATAAAGACATCACCATTTTCTTTTGTTTGAGCTTTTAGCAGTTCATCATCCATCAGCCTTATAGTTTCAACAAATGCCTGAAGAGTAGGTGGACAAACAAAAATTATTACACAATCAATTCATACATCTGCCACCAAAATGAAAATGGTGCCTGCTTCTTGTTTATCCCTAAAAATTTGTTATCAGTTCTGGGTTTTAAAATTCTCACCACCCCTCCACTGGCCAATGCATTAAGAAACATCCTTACATCCACGTAAAAACCATTCACTGCCTCGTAACAGTGCAAAACTGTAAGTCCACTCTACACTGGATATGCCAAGACACCAGCAACTGAACACAACCCCCCCCGTTGTACTTTTAAATGCACTTAATAATGGCAAAGAAGTTCTTTGAAGCCTTTTAAGACCTTTTAGTTTCTGTTGAAATCTCTCTTAAGAGATCAAAAAAAAAGGCTGGCAGAAAGCTTGATGAAGACCTACCCTACCGCACTCTTATCTAGGTGGCCATCTGCTGGTTTTTAATTATTCGGCAATCAAAGTCTCTCCATTTTTTGTACAATAATCATTCTTTCTGATACACCAGGGTCCTAATACTGGCCTACCTTGAGTATTCTTTACTGACAAAGTTGTGTTACCTCCTGTTTCACAGTTCATCCTACAATCATTTTACTGTAACTTTATCTCACCAGTTAGTTATCTAACAGCCAAATCTTTACATTTGATTATAGGAAAGGTAAAAGTATGGAGAGAACAATTAATCTTTTGCAGGAACTTCATGATGTTTAGCTACTGAAGCAGCAAATCAGTAGCTTAATAAACACATTCAATTATACTAAAAATTAATAATATGAGTGAGGAATTAGGGCCCAAGAATAAGAGACTTTACTGAAGTAAAGCTGCAGACAATTCTGAGGATTTGAGCCTAACTTTGATTTGGTTTCCCCCTTGCTAAGCAATTGAGTAATGATACCTTTTGTAACAACCATAGAATGGTGTGGGTTGGAAGGGACCTTCAAAGATCATTTAGTCCAACACCCCTGCCATACGCAGGGACATCAATCAGATGAGCTAATATTTGTATATCAAGACAAAAATATTCTGGCCACATAATTAATCTTAATATATGAAAAGTCATTTGCACAGAAAACCAATTCGGATACACTTATTAACTCTTTTACCTGATCCCCTTTTATAGTGTGTTGATCCAACGATGTCTTTATCGCAATATTACTGTAATAAGCATACGACAGCTCCAAATCAAGTGGGTAGTTATTAATACCTTGGTAATGTTTATAGCCAAGATTCATCACAGCAAGTCTCTCATTGCCCTGAGCGCCAACCAAACTATACAGCAGTCCCTGGCAAAAATTAACAGACATAAACAAGAGTGAATTCATAGCACAGCTCACAAGTTTAGCATTTTGGTGGAGATTTACAGGTAACAGAGTGCTCATACTGGTAGCTGATATACTAGCTATGCCATGTAAACACATTCACAGAATCAAGCACAGCCCTAAAGTAGTTAAAATGTCTTCTATATGTATAGAAATATTTGAAAGAAAAACTAGACTCTCTAAATACTTTTTAAGCATTGAACTTACTCTGTCAGCACTAAGTGTGCAGCAATTTTTTAATGCCACTTTATTATAGTGTTAATTATACTGATACTTTTCATACATAGCCGTGACTTAAGTAGTCTCACTGATGTCAAGTGAATTTTTTTCACTGAATTCATTGGAAACATATGGAAGTTAACAAACAGTACTTGAAAAATCTTACCCTAAGGATCTGACAGGGCTAGAAAGATGGGACTTGTGGCTGACAAGGTTTCAGCACAAAGCCTCCTTGAGCTACATGTTAATGGGCGCTCAAAATAGTCAAGGTATCATAGATTTGCCAAAAGCATTTTCAGCTACACAGCAATAAAAACAGTGGTGTCCTGTCTGCGCTGGGTATTAAATCATTTCCCACACTATCTGAAGTGGATCCAACGCTGTAATTATTTAGCTTCCACAATTAGCACTAGGTATACTCCATAATTAGGGTATAAAAATGGCTCCTGTCTAACATTTCTTGTGTTTGAGAAACTGGAGTGAGCTCAATCTCAGATTGACCTCTAAGGGTTCTTGTGATTCAGTACCCTGTAACCACATTAGGCAGATCTGCTATTCTTTATGATCATTTTATATTACACTATTATATCACACTTAAATATCTGTTGGCAATTTCAGTGTTGCTCTCTTCCAGTGACATACAAATATCTCCCCTTTAGTTGACCTTGCAATGGAATCGCATGGGAACATTTCAGCTATTTGCAACCTGCCTAAAAGGGCAGGAGTTCACGTGCTCTGCAGTTGCTCAGCTGAAGCATGGTTAGTTTTTTTCCAAAAGAAAACTTCTGATTTGGTTACCTTTAACCATTTGACCATAATATACTCAGTGCCGCATTTTTGCACACTGTAAAATGGGAGTTCTTTCCTGACTGTACCATGCACTTTCCACTTTCGGGGATTTGCCTGACGTGAGACTTTTTTCATACCCATCTACAAATGACTGTGGGTGACTTGAGGATTATTACCTCATCCTACCTCCTCAGTGACTGGGAAAAGCTGTATATTCCATGCTGTTCATTTCACCACCATTTTCAGGTCTTACCACACCATTGATTTCCTTGTTCTGGATGAGGAGGATAAAGATTCCCGCCACCAGGACTTCATAAAGACTTTATTGCCATCGGCTACTTAGGAGTAGCTGTATTGGTAAATCTCTTCAACCACAGCCTGAATCTGGGGTCCATTTCACATTTCTTTTTTCTATTGATCAAAAATTCCTCCCATTTCTGAACTGCCTTTGCAAGTCATTACTTTCACAGACATAACCAAATGTACTAAATATCCTACCTTTGTACGGTCCACGGGCACACCCAGCCCTGTTTCAAATACGACCGCAAGAAAATAGGAAGCCTTATGGTATCCACAGCAACTGGAATCCACCAGGAGAGGGACAGAGGAGCCCATATTGCTGAGGCCATCGGCACGGGATAGACCCTTTGCAACTTTCTCAAATATCCTCTGGCCAACTTCTGTAACTGTATTGCTTCCATCTTCTAACACTACGAATAAAACACAGGAGGCACAGTTATTCCAAGAGTTAAAACCAGGAATTGCCTTCCCCTCCTTAACTTCATAGGACTGAGTCAGTTTCTCATGCTGAATGGTATTCCCAGCGCAGACAACCAAAATTCCTACAGATACAAGGTACTATTGAATAGGAAGGGTGAAGAAAAATCCGAAAGACTGCCCCAAAGTAACCAACCACTAAAAGCATAAGGATATCTCTATTTCCTTCAAAGCCATCCTTCCTTTGCAGCACAACATATCAGCCACATGGCACTCCTCTACTAAGTTAGTTGATATGAAATAAAAAGATATAAACCACGAACTGAAGTCAAAGCATACTAACTTACATGACATATATTGTGGAGTTATTTAAGAACAATAAAAAAACATACGATTACCATCTGGAGCACTGAAGTCTATCTCTTGCAGCAGTTTGAACAAAGTGTTGTACTTTTCCCTGAGCTCTTTTCCCCACATGAAGGCATCACATTTGTATTTTTCTCCATAATTATGAATCAGCTCCAAATAAGAGTTTTCATAGTAACCTAGAGAAAACACAATATTTAAGACACAAAACCTGACTTGGCTGGTCTTTAAAACAAACTTCTGGTAGAAAAAAAAGGTGTTTCTAAGGTAAACTAAAAAGTCATGGACAAGATAAGCACATCCTTAACACAAAGTAGTACTAAAAACTCATACAGCTAGCACAGGCCACTTACAAATACATAAGATTTCTTCTACTCTCTTCCACAGTCTGGTCACAATGCATGCGATCGAATTCTAACTGGAAACACAAGCTAGTTTTCAGCACAAATTTAAGCTATGTTACTCTTCTTTCATTAAAGTGGTTGCCTTGGCATAAACCTGTGAACGGCTGCATGTTAGGCAACTGTGGCAGAGACATTCTAGCAAAACCCACCCATTTTTGGGAAAGGGTTTAAAATACACGTGCCTTTAGGATCATTTAGGAATGAAACAGAAGAAAGGCAACTGAACAGTTTACACACAAGCTTGAAAGTGTTTCTTTGTCCCTTTACGCACCTGTCTTATTAGAGAAGAAACATCAACAACATGATTTAAGTTTGTATTCCATGGCACAAAAGTCTTTGCAGGGACAAACCACCGTTTTAGCTACCAGTAACAAGGCTAAACTCTTCAAATTGCCTTTTTTCTTGTTATGTATGAATTCAAGTTTAATTTTGATGATTGTTAACCAGATTCTGGTAAAACGAAAGAAAAGAGGTCTCCAAAGATGGCAGTTTAAAATTTATATCTCATAGACCAACACTTACAATTTCTTTGTGCTTTTTCGCCTTGCCTTACAATATAGTTGTACTCATAAACTATTTCTTGAATGTCCATACATCTGTCGTAGTAGAGTTCAATTTGTTCCACTGTTTCTTTGTCATGAAGAGGGTTAGAAATCTATAAAAAGGCAAATGACGGATAAATGGCATCTACAGTATCTGCTGTCGTCTACGCTTGGCGAGAAAGCAGTGTTGTAGGCAAATAACAAAGGAAACAGATTGTTTACTACAATCAGCTTAGCTGGCACATCATATTCATGCGTCAGACAACCTGATGCTGGCCACAACAGACTATGACCTTAAACAGCCAGCATAGTCCAGAAGAACATGGATAAAGTTCCAAAATCAACTAAGCTTATGTGACTTTTACCACCAACTTCAGCAAAACCATGGATTAATCAAATGTGTTCAATACTGTATCATCAAAACCTTTGGGAAGCAAAGCAATATTGCAAATTAGTCCTTACTTCAATACAAATTTAGGAACTTTGCTATACATACTCACTTCTAGAAGTCTTAGAAGTGGTAACTAACACTCCTAGACTTCAACAGAAACTGATTATATTTTGGTTATCTATTCCCAAGTACCATCATGATTCATAGCAAGTTCACCACTTGGTAGGAGCTTCAGTCAAGAAAAAATACAGCCATAGCTGGCTGCTAATATTTAAACATTTCCAAATACTGCTTTTGTTTACCTGTTCCGTTTCCAACACATTGAGACGATAGTATTTCACAGGTCCAAAGAATGCTTCAATACCATTTACATAGCCACTGCCTCCAAGAACAAAGTATCCAGCAGTGTCATCATAATAGAAATCTTCCCTAAAACTTAAGTACATGAAAGAGAAGTAAGCTGGCTATCAAGAGGTACTACGAAACAAAAAGAGAAATCCGTATCTCAGAATTTCAGTAACTTACAGCCTTAAACTCATTCCAGTATCTTTTCCTTTTCTCATCTGTTTACTCTCAAAATCTGCTCTGCAATTTAGTGCGATAAATTCTGGAGTAAATTTAACAAAACCTTTGCCTACAAACATACTAAACCAGCAGGGTGCTTTATTCTTCTGACCTGTAGGTATCCTCTGAAGTTTTATTATACAGCCTCAGCGATTTCAGTCCCACCTCTCCCCTGCATTTATCTAAAACCGGCACATGAAAATTTAAGTTATCTGTCTCCTAGAGTTACTATGTATAAATTCACAATTTCTGGTTTGTAAACCATAACAGAGAAAGAACAACACTGAAGTCTACCATACAATTTATCGTTATACTGTTTCCATACAAAATTTTGTTTTTTTAATTATTTGCACAAGAAAGAGTTAATCTTAAATTAGAGTGACTGAGAACAATTAAAGATCGATTTTAAAAAAGGGCACCTGATTCAGTTGCTTAAAATAATGGATGGGGCTAGAATATTTTTGGTAGAAATTTTGCTCTCTACCTAAGCAAAGCAGATTAACAATTTTACTGGTGAAATCCTGGCGTCCTCACCGCAACAGCAAAACCTCCCTTGACCTCAGTAAGGCCAAGACTTCATGTGAAGACTCATCCTAATGCCACTAACCTTCCGATCAGGTTTTCGTGGCAGTTATCAGACTCTAGTACTAGATTGTGCAGCACGTTAGCTCAACTAGCTCATGATATTAATAAAATTATTCAGCTCACGCTCAATGTAAACACAGTAATGCAAACTGGTCTTGAGAGTGTAGAGTGGAAAAAGACCACAGACATTTAAAAAATCATTCGGAATCTCAGTTACAAACTTGTGCCCTCCATCTGCCGTTTTCCAAATCTGAACACATACACATACATTATTTGGCAAAGGCGAAAACGCTGCTTACGTAAAAGACTGATGATGATGTCTTTTCAAATTCTTCCCAACATTGCTTACTTCTATCTAAAAGAACACAAAATATTAATTATAATAGACTAAATACTACACAGTACATTTATTAAGCCACTTTAGCTCACAGTTCAGAAGATTACCGCTGCAGCTTGTTGCATCTCCTCTGCACTACAGAGGATGTTGTCATTTATCTGATTTACGTCAGGGGAATTTAGTGGAAATCACTGGCACTGGTCTGTCCTGGCCAACCGTGAGAGATGAAAGGTAGCAAAAACAGCACAGATGTTGCCTACTTCATCTGTTTCACTCCTGCGATCAGTTATGAGACATCTGTACTTTGCTGAAGCTTTCATTCTTCCAAAGCATGAACGGCTATTTTGCTTTTATAGAGCAGAGATGCTAAATGAAGAAAATATCGATCTTAAGAAAATGCAGCTTACAGGTGAAGAATGGCCACAAAGCTAATGTAGTAGGCCATGAGTTAAAAAAAAACCAAACCAAAACTACGTTCATTCCTACTTCTACAGGAGATGGAGACCTTCAGTGCCAGAAGGGTAAGGTATTCAGATCCCTGAAAAGGAAGACAAGATAAGGTTTTCGTAACTAAGGACTAAGTCACCTAAGGATCACAACACAACCCTGCAAAATCTTCTCAAATGCCTAGGCATTTTTATGGATTCATCTACATCTTTAGATGTTCTTAAAAGCTGACTCTTAATTTCTCGATGCCTCAATTTCCAAACCTTCCCTAATTTATATATTTTGCCTAAGATCACGCTGGACTAAATGTACCTAAACAATGGAAGTGAAATAAGTGTCTAAATAAGGAAAATCTTCTACACCTTTTGAGGATCCTAGCATTTAAAAAATTACTACAGGAAGACATGTCAATAAGGTGCGACTGAACCACAGCTTTATCTGTCCCAGAAAATGGCTCTAAGTACTGAAATGCTTTTAAGCTTAGGCCTACTTCCTCTTCTTTGCACAAGAGTGCTCATTAAACTCTTCACGGCTCCCATATCTTGTTCAGAAGTGGAAAGTTATTGACCACATTATCTCACGCCTGAATAAATTCACTCTGCTCTTTGATGGAAGAATATTTTTTCTTAATCTAATCATACAAGCAATCCTCACATTTCCAAGTCCAGACTAATATATCGTGTATCAATACTGACAGTAACTTTTACATTTGCACCTGAAGCTGACCTTCAAATTCCATAGGGTCTGGCCTTTCCTGTGAACTTAAATTATGACCACAATTTAAACAAGCAGAAAAAGACAGTTCTGATCGTACAAAAGTTTTTTCACTTTTCCTTTAAATAATGTATTTAAAAGCATATTATATTAAGAGCAAATAGATGTTTCTACCTGAATTACTTGCAAGACAGTCTGGTCACCACTTACATACTTAAATAAAGGTGGGGTGCAACAGGAATAGCAGTAGTTTACCCTGCACATTGCTCTCCCTGTACAGCATTGTTTTGGCTTTATCAGTCATTTAATTCATACTTTAAACTTGCTTAGTTGTTCTTGCAATTAATTAACAATTACTTTTACAATTCAGAATGTAACCTACTCAATCATTTTCAAGGAGAAAGATGCTGAGAAAAATAAGACTAAGGTTTTTGATTATTTTCACACACTAACACCTTAATAGCTGGAGGTACAGACAAGAACTTGGGCAGGAAGGCTGACTTGTTTTCACAGCTGCTTTGGGAAGGTTCTTGTGAAAAAACAATTGCGATCTGTTAAAATGTAAATTATGTATTTCATCTACTACAGAGGGACACTGCAATTTTTTTTGTCTTTTCATGGCAGACAGTTCTACGCTGCTTTGTCAAATGTGCAAAACTTGGGAGCTGCACATGCTTCCTGCTAGCTATGCTAATAATAACATCTAGGCAAGAGGCATGCTACTGTACAAAGAAGCCCAGACACTTCAATTTTCATATCAGAATGGTAAAAACCTCTCAGTCTCTAAGTGCAAAGTCCCTAGGAGCTATTCACACCATGTAACCTACAATATCCAGATAGGGTATCTATGCCAGGAGTCCTGGCTGCCTGTACAGTCAGCAAAGTCTCTGGAGAGCAACTCTGCGCCTGGATACACAGTAATTCTAGGCTCCTACCTTAATCATCTAAGTTGACTTCCCGAAGTTGGATGTTCTGAATATTCCCAGCCAATTTCTAGTTTTAGATTTTTCATTCTTTTGTTATGTGAGCACGTACAAATTATTTCTGTCAGCCTCAGCTGTTGAGGGGTTTGTCAGAGGCATAATCAAATTATAGAAATCTCAGTCGTAATCCTGTAATTTAGTAGCACACCTACCTGTCCACCCTTAAAAGAGAGATCCAGTCGAAACCACTGTCTCAGAGGAAGGCTGAAGCTAGTTTTCACTGCAAGGTCATCTCCTCTCATCAGGTGCACCTGAATATGCACATAACCTGACAGAGCAACAAAGGAAGACAAAGGGAATAAACACCACAGAAACATCAAGATTAATAATGGGCTTCCTAGCGTATTATTCACAGTCATTCTGTCTTCTTCATCCTCTTCTTCACTAGCAGAGATCTGGGGACTTGCCAACCCACACATCAGCTCTCACAGAACCCCAGGGAAACATGCTCCACATTTCAGCTACACATCTCGGTTGCTAATGCCCAGGCTCCCACACGAAACCACAGACTCAAAACCAGCTGTCTGAGGGATAAACACACTAAGCATAAGGCAAACAGGGAGGGTGCCACAGTTGATCTCAAACACCAGAAAGCAGACACGATTTGCAGCAAACAGCAGAGGGGACCAGCAGACGGTGGCACCTACTCAACACTCAGCTGCTAGCACATGAGAGCACAATGGTCACATACAAGACAACTCTACTCTCCACTACTCAGACCTGCAGCAGCTAGACTCATGCTCTGAGATCTTAAGACCAGAACAGGCTATTACGATAACTTAGTCTAACACTGAGAATAAAACCGGCCCTAAAACCTCTCCAAGCAAATCTCATAACAAGCTGACAACTTCCAGCTGAGCTGCCACTTTTGATTGTTCTTCAGAGAAACACACTCAGTTTATAATGGACAGATTAACTATCTAGATTGGTGACAAGACAGAGAAAACAGAAATAGCAAAAATAACACAGAGGAAAAGATTAGTTGTGAAACTTGCAAAAAAGGGGAAAAAATGTAATGTCTTATGAGAAAGCCAGGTGTGCACTTTTAAAATTCTGCACACTTCTTTCCTCTGTGAGCCTGCCAGCCAGTCCCCAGCTGCTCAACCTCATTCTCTATTAGAGGCTGAAGAGCTGTCTTCTGGCAGGAATGTTCTTCTGCTGCAGGTGTTGCCAGACTAAGACAGCGCTACCTCAGACTGTGCTTCTTGAACACTGTAACATAGGCAAGACCTTGAATCACTGGGAGTTTTCCTGAGGCTATTCCAAATTTTCAAAAACGTTCATGTAGTAAGTATGTAAGAATTGAGAACAATATTAAAATAATACATCAGTAATAATAATGAAGGTCATTCATTGAGGTGAGACTCTAATCCCAGTGTATGTTCCTGACCGGTAGGAGTCAGTCTATTCTCCTAACAAAGCAGATGTTTTCTGCAGTTACTCCAGACTAGATGCTATGGAACCATTTACCAGTTTTACCCTCTTAATCTGCCCTATTAATGTCCTATTCGGACCTTATAGTAAGAAAGAAGAATTTTGCAAGGGATCAGTTTCACAAAATAGGTCTGACACTACATTCATAAATGCTATTCCTAGGCACAGATCTATAAAGAACATATTAGACCCCTTCTGAAGGGCATTAATAAAACACCTTACCTTCCTCATTTAGAAATACAGCAGGAGTACTGTACATTTCTTTCGGATCGATAAAATAGAGTATACCACACAGATCCTTTTCACAGTGATGGAGTAAATACAGCCAGATTGAAACAGTGAACCTGCATGAGCAAAAATAAACAAAAAAAATCCACTCCTGATGAGAAATCTCCTTATACAATTTGCAAAGCATTCATTTCACTTTAAGTTAGGAAACCTGTTTCACACATGTAATCTTCAGAACAGAACACATCCTCTGCAGTGATAACCTTCAAAGCAACAGCACTTAAAGACTCTTGGATCTGTGATCTCCTTTCAACCTTGCGCTTTCGCAGTACCAACATGAGAGGGGAGTAAGGGAGTGTTATCTGAATCAATTCCAGGATGGCAGGTCAGAGCTACTGCCAGATCCCACATCAATATGGAACTGGAAACACGACCAAGACAACTCGGAGCCAACCTCCCGCATGCAAGCTACAGTACAAGATCCCCTAACGCATGGTCTTGTAACCTTGATTGTGGAAGCCAGTAAAAATTAAGCTGTGTCCTCTATACTAAATGCCAACTGTGAAAACGTGCTTGGGAGAAGCAGTTAAAAATGATTCCAGCCTCTGGGTAGTACAGATATGCACGAATAGCTGTCACAGAGCTATCACAGGATAAATAAAGGTGGAGTCTGTGCAAACTACAGGGCTGTGCAAAATAAAAACCTGAAGACTTGACAATGCTACCTACTGAGAAACTTCTGTACAAAGCTGGCTGAGGCACAAAAAGCAGAATTTATACCACAGTATCTGATTTTAAGGAGCTCCTCTGTGCCAGACTAAATCTATGTCGGTGCTGTTAATGGCAACTTGACCACTTCTTTCCGTAACATTTCCACAGCAGTTAAGCCAATTCTGAATGCCTCTGAAAACTGTACTTGCAACGTACAACCCAGCAAAGCATTACGATTATTATAATCTCTTTTATTATAATTCTCTTTTCTTAGTGACTTTTAGAAGACACTATTCAGTTTTTGTATTTCTATACTTAAGAAAAAAATGTAAATATTTGTTTACAACACTTCAGAATTGGGTTAGTTTGCCTTATTTCTCTCTCCAGAAGCTGCTAAACATACAGCACCTTGTATCATTTCCTAAACTAAACCACTGTAGGTCTGAATGCCTAACATCTGCTCTCCTGCTTAAAAAAAAATGAAGCAGTGGTAAAGCTTCTCCCAACAGTCTACACCTTAAGTAGGTAATGACACCATATCTTCCACAGATGGTACACGGATGAGGTAGAAGGGTTTGTAAACCACAATCACTTATAAATCGATCATTATGACCTACAGGCAAACACTGTGCTTCCAGAAATACTGCTTATGCTCACATACTGCTGTTTTCATCTTTCATCTCTGGCAATATAGCAAACTTAAATGCTGCAGTCTCCATTTAATCCTTGATTGCCAGTCTGAGCACATAACTGTTCTGGACAAGTTTCTTGGGACAGAGTTTGGGACAACGCTGACTCATTCCACATCCCCCATCACTGCAGAATGCCGTACAGCGTGAGTAGCCCCTTCCAGCCCCAGCCTATCCTTGCTGCGGGCTGTCAACAGCCTCAAATGACAGCTGTCTACCTCCACTCCTCTTTCTTTACAATTCTCTGACTGAAGTCAAACGGGTAACTTCAGTTTGACCCATCTGCTTCTGTTGGCCTTTTGGTGCAGCGGGGAACCATCACTCGCACACAGAAAGCTGAAGGAAAACTCTCTTCCTCTTCTTAACACAGCTACCCCAGGCTGTCACGCAACCACAACACACAGGCAACGCTTTATGGTAACACTGGAGGGGTCCCCGAAGGCGAGAGCGTGTGGAACTGTGCGGAGCAGGTAAAGAGCTGCACAGAACTCATACCATACATTCTCAGCCAGAGCTCCTGTGCCTCATTGCCAGCAGCAGAAGGCAACCTGCTGCTGGTGAGCAAAGGGCAGTAGGCTGCACAAACCAGGCTGTCACCTGTCCTGAAGAGGCCAGGAACTAAAAAGTGCGCTGTACTTCTGACTTCAGAGCTACAGCTTGAGGACTAGTAACTTGTATGCAACCTGCACTAGCTGGCAAGTCTCCTCTGGCACTCTGCCTGCGGTCGCAGGCCAAACACAAACCAGCAGGCAAGCTCCAGTTCCTGCGATCATTTCCTATTTCTGTAATAATGTCACTGGGGTAACAGCATCAGGTGGAAAGGAGATCTATTTACATCTCTCTATACATACTTTTTCCTCTAAAGTTGCCAAATATGACCCAAGAGTTTGACAGTTTTGGGAAGGGGGAGAGGAGTAGAGAAAGATGATCTTCCCAGAGCGATCCTCTGTAACTGAATGGCATGCAGGGGCTAAAGGGTTTTACTCCCGTCCAGTTAGCAGAGGTTACACAGCGATGGTGGAAGGCAATAGCACAAGCTCAAGAGAGAAGACTATCCCCTAGGCAGCGGACTCTTATCCCTAAGGGGTTGTCCGCTGCAAAATAAACTAGAGTGTGAATTTATCAGGGAAAAAGCTGCTCCACCCTGCTTGCCCTTGCAAGAAACCCAACCTACACTTGGTCTGCAAACGATGCTGGAAATGCCAATCTCTTTGTAAGGCAGGCAACCCCAGGCCAGCTAGTCATGAGACAGCAGGCTGATGGTGACAGCATGTCATCAGCTAACTTACACTCCCAACTGCACCCAACCAGTACAGCTACACCCAACCAGTACAGCTACACCTCATACTGGTCTCTTACACAGAACTACACTAACACAGACTGCAAGTATCTTTCTGAGGTTCAGCTTAATCCGCTCCAAAACGGAAATCAGAGAACAGAAGCAACTGCTAATTAGCTTCCTTTTGAGACTTTTCTCACATTAGTAGGCAGTATTCCTTTAATTTGTGGTATAGCCTATGAGTTTAAGTACATTCTATAGCCTTCAATAATCAATTACAGCCTACATCAACTAATTGCCTATACTTACATAGGATAATCAATCTGATGTTGTCTGACTGTCTCAAGTTCTCTGTTTTCAAACTGTTCAAATTTCTTCACAATTCCTGTCTTCTCCCCACTGGAAGCGTATATGAAGTTGAGAATCTGGACACCATCTGCAAAATAGAATCCTTCTTAATCTGCCAGAAAACAAGTATTGATAACTAATTAGCTCACACCCGTACAGTCAAACATTTGAATCACACAACGGATTAAAAATTAACACAAATCTTCAATAAATCCTTAAACACACGTTCACTTGCGGTTGTTAGACACATTACAGTCTTGGACCGAATAACCCATGGGAAAGTGAAATGGAGTCCATTTCCAGCCGGAAAAGATCAGACTCCTTCATATCATCTAAGGCACTTAAAGGACCAGTTAGTAAGAAAGAAATCTTCGTTTATGTTATTTATTTAAATCTCATCCTATCTTTGTTATGCCTATGTGAGATTACTCCACAGCTCTTGGACTTGCGCTCCATTTTCAGCTCTCCAGTTTATACTCTATGGATGGACAGATACCAATTCTGTTCTTAACTGATACGTGTAATCCTGTAACAAATCTGATAATGCTGCCCCTGCTAAGTAACAGGAAAAAGATCTTCAAGGCTTTCCTAGAAAAACCCCCAAAACAAACAAAAAAGATCCCAAACCCCAAGCAATTTGTTACAAGCTTATTTTAAAAAATAAATGTGAATGTTTTATCCTCCTATTTCGTTTTCGTCTGTAATACAGTTAGACAATGCATAAGATGTTTCACACTGTTGCCACAGACCACATGCTCCCCAACCAGCATTTTGGAAAGTCCCTGAAGGCAGTAAAACCACTGCTTCCCTGTTCAGCTTCGGTGCACTTCAGCGCCAATACAGTGAAAACAAATGACACAAAATACTGTTCTGCGGTTTTCTGGGAGTGAAACCTTTAGAAGCAAATAACCTTTCTGCTTTCAGGTTCTGCTTTGAATATATACAGAGGACAAAAAGAACTGTCAGCAGATGGAAAGCTAGAGACAGGCAGACAGCAAAAAATCTGGAGAACTGAGAAAATCTTGAAAGCAGAGTTATTGGTTTCAGTAATTTATAAAGTTGGGCAAGACACCCTCTTTATTTAAAACTATTAATTTTTAAAACTCAGGTGCTTGTCCATAATGGCTTTGGGGGGGGGAAAAAAAGTCCTATAAAGTTTATTGCACTATAAAGACTTAAAAATTTGTTTCTGAGTGTGTGGTCGTCATCTTAAGCAGAAGTAGACTACCTCTGTGAGAGTTATGTATGCAAGGACTGCAAGACTGACCCTACATAAGGCAGCAAGACACTGAGCAACTCTCTCTGAAGACAAAGGAACAATGTCCACTGGTGGTGAAAACACTGGAACAGGTTGCCTAGAGAAGCTGTGGATGCCCCCTCCTCGGCAGTGTTCAAGGCCAGGTTGGATGCAGCTCTGAGCAACCGGGTCTAGTGGAAGATGTCCCTGCTCATGGCAGGGAAGTTGGAACCAGATGATCTTTAAGCTCCCTTCCAACCCTTACCATTCTATGATTCTACCTTATAAATTCTTATAAATATCTGAAGGGTGGATGTCAGGAGGATGGGGCCAAACTCTTTTCAGTGGTGCCCAGCAACAGGACAAGGGGCAACAACACAAACTGAAGCACAGGAAGTTCCGGATGAACATGAGGAAGAATTTCTTCCCTCTGAGGGTGACGGAGCACTGGAACAGGCTGCCCAGGGAGGTTGTGGAGTCCCCTTCTCTGGAGATATTCAAGACCCACCTGGACAAGGTCCTGTGCAGCCTGCTGTAGGTGACCCTGCTTCGGCAGGGCAGTTGGACTAGATGACCCACAGAGGTCCCTTCCAACGCATGCCATTCTGTGATTCTGTGACATCAGTGGGTTTTAAATACAGTTGTTTGAATACACTTAGAAAACAGAAGGCCATGCTGCTACAAATCTCCAGGCTGGCTGCGATGAAACAAGGCAACTCCAAAGAACATGATGACTTCAGCCATTTCCAACTCTAATCCTGCAGTCATGCAGCTCACATATTCAACAATGTTGGCCAAGTAAATCACCCTACGTAACATTTACTGTTTACTACAGGCATGCACTTTTTAACAGCTTACAAAAGACATTATTTAGGTCCCATCAGTTCCCTTGGGAAACAACGTGACATTGCACCTACCACTTTCATGAGGGCACTGAGGTATCCTGTTTGCCTGGAGCACCCACAGATAGTCAGCACCCCACTGAAGACAAACTTTGTGGTCTTTATACGGGCGTTCAAAAGGTGGAACTGCTTCTAAAAATGTGTAGTTCTTGGCCACTGCATCCTGGTAGTCTTCATTCTGCTCAACATCATAGCTGCTAACTGATTTGTGACTAATCCATGCGTATAATATCACACTGTGCACTATTATTGAGTTTCTGATGATATAATCATCTCTGTAAACCATGATGCTCGGAAATTTCAAATGTACTTGTCGAGTTCTGCTAACGTAAAGGTTCTTTTCATCCTTCCATCTCTTTCTATACACTGGCACACCAGTCCTGAATTCGGAGGAAGCAACTGCTTCCAAGTTGATGATACAAGGCTTAGAACATAAGTACTGAACTGAAACCTCAGAGTTGTTACGAATTTTTTTTTCTAAAATGTTTAAATGAATAAAGTCCACGTAATCCATGTTTTGTTCAAGCTGTGGAGTAACTGCCGTTGTCTGTAATGTCTCCTTTCCAAAGGAGGGCACAAAATTCTGGAAAAAAAAACAAACACAAAACATTATGTCAAACAGAGAATCTAAGTTTACGTGATTACTAATACATTTGCAGCAATACTACAACACTGTACAAGGAGAAGGTTTATATGCCATACTCAGACTCCAAAACACCAGGACTCTTTCACAGAGCACGCAGATATGGATTACGGAACAGTTACCCCAAGGTTTTTATGGTACCAACTCCCCTACACCAAGTTCTCAAAGTTACATAGGCGTCTACAAACAAGCCGTGTTTACAGGGTGTATCCTCTGGCCCTTCCGCAAGCGGAATCCGGTCTAAGATAGTCACTTGCATGTCATGTTATTTACACACGCTCCTAGGATCAGGCCTAAAGGGTATATACTGAAATGTACCGGCATTTATTCGTCGCATTGTTGCTCACTACTACTGCTACAGCTTGACGTTTCTGCATCTTTTTAAAAAGTTGGCTGATTCTGTCACCTCCCACGCAGGCACCTGAAGGGCAGTGTAACAACTAAGGCAGCTCACAACGGTTTCCCGAGAATGAATTTGTGTTTGTGAAGTGTTTAGGAGCTTATTACTGAAATGTTCCTACCCCGAAGACGGACCAGCAGGCAGCATTTGCTCAGCTTTTGCTCTCCAGAGCTATGCACATTGCAATATACTTCGGGAGTGAGTGCTTGGATGCACACCGGGATTATCCACCATGGTGAAGTTCTTGTCTCTAAGGCTTCAAACAGCTTCTTTTCTTTCTGCTCTGCGGTCAGCGTCCGGCTTGATGCACTGCCAAGGATACCGCGGATTACTTGGCTCAGAGGGCCAGCCACCAGCACAGCACTTCTGCCAGGTCCCCTGATCTGCCTAAAATATTCAGAATTGTCCCTCAGGATTACCAGGGAAGCTGGTCGTTAGGATTGCTTAAAATGAGAAGATCCGTCTTGGGTGACACTTAACTTTGCTAAGCTTAAACAAATCAAACTGAAATTTATCTTGGATATCTACCTTGGACTGATGGCTTTTTCACTGTGATTCTCAAAATATTTAAAAGCTTTGGCCAAGTCGTTAGTACATTTCTAAATACTGGAATTATGGGCTGTGCACCTGGAGGACAAGACCTTGCCCACAATCCAATATGTGGATCAGTAAAAGTCCCTAATGATAAACTACTTTGCTTTTCAATTCTTAAGGATATGTTGACAGTCCTTGAGAGCTACACTGAAAAAACATCAAGCCAGCAAAACCTGTGAAGGTGTAAATATTTGGAAAAGCCAGAACTAAGTTTGCCTATACTACTTCCTTATTCCTACAGATGAGGATTTTGGATTTAACTATGCAATCAAATGCTATTTTTCCCCCAGATCCCTGCCTCCTTACAGGCACAAAAGAGCTCTAGGATTGCAAGCGGAACACAACTGTGCGTAGAGGAGACTATTCGTCCCAAGACCTTGACTTTATTTAAGGCAGAAGCTGCAAGACATAACTGAATGAGGGAACTTCTGGATGAGAAAGCTGGGTATCATTGCTAGCAGTTGGGTAAGACCAGATAACCAGATACATTTAGTGTTCCTAGGTCTTTCTGAACTTGTCACTTAAACCACTTTCCGCAAGAACAACAGAGTGCTCTTCATCTTCTTGTGTCTGACAAGAGATGCTGGAAGCCAAATGTGCACTGATGCTGAACACTCCATAAACCTGTGTTTGAGCACCAAGATATACAGCTTGAACAAATAAAATGCTAGAAAAATGCGAAACACTCCACAACATCAGTATCTCGGCTTTCTACAACAGGTAGTCTCTTTAGAGTGACAGCCTTCCTCTCTGCCTCGTTTCCCATTCTACAAAACGGATCTTGTAAAAATGATGCATTCTGAAGGGGCTAAAAAAGGAACAGCAACGGGAGGCTGGTGTCCATTGGAAAAGTTACCACCATACCACAAAATAACACACACGTACAACTACCAACATGAAAGGTGACGAGAGATCCTTAATTTCAATACTAATTTGACTGTCTTTCAGAGCTTGACTTGACAAATATACTATCCTTTTACGTTTCCTACTTACTACTTCATTGGGTATAGATACCTCTAAAAGCGTTAAAAGCACGTAGCAGCAACCACAAATTACTCCAAACCTCTTCTAATTGATGGTTATCATTCATATTTCTTATACATCTTTTTATCTTATAATAAAGCGTATTTATAAACAGCTTAATCCTTGTCATATGGGGACTGTGTCATGAGGAAGATGGTAATGCATTATAAAAGTAATGCCATGTGTTTATCACAAAATGTAGAAGTCTACCAAGTAGACATGACAAAGCACCACTCTGTGCTTACCCCATACACACATTTACTGCCGAAACACGCACAGCCAACAAAGCCAGCTCTCCATTTTCTCAGGGGTTTATCTGATACAGAGATGTGGGAGCTTGGGTCCGGCACAGCTCACTAACGAAGATGCAGCAGCGTGCGGATGTGGCCTCTGACATCCAGTGAATGTCAGAAGTTCTGTGGTGGGGATCCCAAGGTAGCAAGCTCTGCAACCCAGAGCCTGTTCCTTGTAGAACAAACGCCATGACGTTCCTAGAACAGCCAAGCACGATGTACCGTGACTGCTGATGCATAAGGTTAGCTTCAGCCGCGCTGGCCTTACCGCCTTCCGCTTAGTGCCTGTTCTGCTAAATGGCTCCCACAGAGTTACTCCAGGAATTTATCTCTGTGTTCTTTGGTGCCTGGCTCTTAGTTGAGACACGTGCTGCAAAAACACACGAAGCAGGTTTGGGTCTGCTGTTGCACCACACCTACCAAACCCTTCGGGAGGCTTACCCAGCAAGGAGCACGGCGTGAAGACCCCCGAGCGACCCCGCAGCGATGCAGCCGCGGCAGAGCCCGCAGACCAGGAACTCTCCCAGCCCATGGCTGAGTCTCTGCTGCCACTGGGCTGCCTCTACGCAGCGCGTGTTACCCACACGCTCCTACCCGGTGAGGAACCCTAGTTCTTCCCTCCCCACCACCTCAGACACAGCAGAGCTAACTGTGCATCGTCTCTGGCAACAGAGTGAGGACGAAAGGATCACACGAGGAGCGCGATTATGAGATTTAAACATAAAGGAGTCCCAGCACAGTCAGGAGGCTGCACTGACCACACCACCATGAACTAGGCTGAGCTCAACAACAAAGACACAGAGGCGTTGTCGCGTGGGGCAGCTTCGCCACGAAAGCCGTATAAGTGTTTTTTCTCGATCTTTTTCTCGAAACCTGCTGGATCTGGCGGAGCGAGCCCAAGTCGTCCCACCAGACGCTGGGATAGAAGTCACCGCGGAAGGCGATGGCAGCAGCTGGCAGGGACACCATGAACTAGGCTGAGCTCAACAACAAAGACACAGAGGCGTTGTCGCGTGGGGCAGCTTCGCCACGAAAGCCGTATAAGTGTTTTTTCTCGATCTTTTTCTCGAAACCTGCTGGATCTGGCGGAGCGAGCCCAAGTCGTCCCACCAGACGCTGGGATAGAAGTCACCGCGGAAGGCGATGGCAGCAGCTGGCAGGGAAGCAAACGTCTCGGTGGCGTCAGCATTACAGAGATGACGAGCAGCCCCTCTCTCGCTTGCTGGAGCAAGGCCTCGGCAGGACCTTCCCCGAGCTCGCCCCGCGGACACCCCGCACCGCCCTGCGGAGCG